CTGTATACAAATCAGGGGAAGTTTGTGAATTCAATCATTGCAGACCTATATCTTTATCACTGATTTTCAAGGAAAATATCCATGACAATTCACCTGCATGCACTTTTAATTGGTGAATAATTCCAAATACGAAGCAACTTTCCAAGTGCATCAACAGCTCAATGTACATCCAACTGTTGGAGATAATGGCAGCGGTCTTGCTTTTTTCCATTCTTTTTTTTCTCCGGATTCTGGTGTAAAGAAGTTAGAAATGGACTTGGATAGGAAAATTGGCCACCTGGTGAATTTGATGATCACAAACAAATTAAGCAGCCACTGTGATTGATTTTAATTCTAACATTTGCATATTATTAAGGATTTGCAAGATAAATGAGGTTTTGTCTTTTTTTGGACTTTGGCTGAGCAACCTATTAATGATCCATAGTTTCAAATTTGTTTTTTATCGGCAAGTTAACCCTGAATTTTTAAAATTTTTTTGAGCCTAATTTTTATCTTTTTACCATTATTTGTTAGTTTGAAAAAGCAAGAAATACATCCGATACATACTGTATTTGAGGACATAAATTATTTTGTTGTGAGGTGAACGCTGTCATTCCCTTAACACTTTCACTCCCAAGATCTTATTAGTAATTCTCCTTACTGTCTGCCATACAACTCTTATGATGTTAGTTTGGAGAATTTTGTATTGGATCAACTAGTAATCCTCTAACCCCTCGGTCGCACTCGTGCTTGAAATCAATCTGAAGCATGCTTGCTTGCAACTTCAGACAAGCAAACCCAAGCACGTGCTAGAGATTGGAGCAAGCAGGATCTGATCACTTTGAAAAAACAACAGCCTGCTTATTTTTGTCGTGGTTCGATATGGACCAATTCTCAATGCTCCTGTTTTTGTTTACCTTTCTTTGCACTTTCCGCAAATGCAAGAGAAGAAAAAAGGCTTTAAGACGAAGAAGACGCCAACACATGTTCTTTCAAAGCACCAAGTTGGCACCTTTTTTTTTTTTTTTCAAACAGTTTTTTGTTAATGGTGACCATTTTCAACGTTCATCTTGAACGCTATCATTCTCGACCTTGGGCTCTCCCTCGACCACAATTTTCACCTGATTGGTCAATAATTGTTTATCTAGCTCAGCTCAAGAGCACTCTGTAGTGCTCTTGGGTTAAGCTGCTGTTCTTTTAAAGTTTAAGCAGCTCTGCCTTCTTTCTTAAGCAAGCAAGCATTGCCAAGTTTGGTCAGTCACATTTATAGCAAGCTAGGAATTTGCTAGATAAACAAAAATTGACCAAGCAAGCATGATCCTAGCGCAAGTGTGACCGAGGGGTAATTGATATTTTCCTTTATTCTCATCACTTATCTGCTTGATGTTGTATTGACATTGTTAGGAGAATTCCTGTCTTGGTCACTCATGCAAGTTCAAGGGTTACATGTAAATCAATTTTGAAATTGTATAATGATTGGTGTAATATTTTTTACTTGAATTTTGCTACAATTAAATATTAAAGAAACTAGGCACAGTTTCTAATTAAGGTTTGGAGACAGTCCTCGATGGATGGCAAATTAAATGAAAGACCTTAATTTATTTTACAGCCATCATCTGCTAACGGACACTCTTGTAAGTGAACGGCTCTATTTGCAGACACTTTTTTCAATTTGCTGTTTTGCCGCCTAGTCAAACTCTGTATTTATACATTCCTGTAAGTGGACACTCTCTTGTAAGCGAACATGGACATTTTTTAACCCTGTAGCTCCCAAGATCTGATTGTTAACTCTCCTTTCCAGCTGTTATATATTTCCTTGTTAGTCAGTTAGAAGAATTTGGCATTAGATCAAGATAAATTCTACCTGATAAGTTTGAGTATCCTCTTTACCAGTTTCCTGGATAGTGTATGGATATTATAAGGAGAAATGACATGTTAAATACTTTCGAGAGTTAAAAGGCTAAGGGAAAATTGGATTTTTCTTTTGTTTGCACGTTCATGTAGGTGGACACTTGAATATAAGAATTAATTTTTGGCTACAAAACAAAACTTTTCTTTAATTCGCAAATCAACTAAAACATGACTATTGACAGAGCAACAGAAGAGGGGGTATTGGGTGGTTTTGTCAAATCTTCATTTGTATTTGGGAAGCAATTAAGCTGTCAGTTTGTTTGACATTAACAAAAGTGCAACATAAAATTTGTAGTGTCACATCATGACTATGTTTATCATGGTCTACTTTCCTTCTTGTTCTCCTATAACCAGCCATCCACTCCTGTTTTTCTTTGGTTTCCACTAGCATGTACACGAATAATTGTTGAAGACTGACATCCTTACTGACAGACACTTTTACCAATCCTTAGGGTGTCCCTTTACAGCTGAATTGGTTTTATCAACTAAGTTGAAATTGTAAATTGGCCACCATAAAGAGTTAAAAAGCTGATGTTTTGAGTGTTAGCCCTTTGTCAGAGGAAAGACACAGCACCACACTTTCTTTAGAAACTTACGCCCTTTATTCTTTTATGAGAGAGTTGACTGTACTGAATCTGTTCTTAATCACTATCCTTGGTTTATTCATTTGATATATACTTTTTTTTCCCAAATTCCCTGGTTAGTCATGCTTTAAACATAAACAAAGAAACCTACCCCCTTTATTCTTTTATGAGAGAGTTGACTGTACTGAATGTGTTCTTAATCACTATCCTTTGTTTATTGATATATACTTTTTTTTCCAAATTCCCTGGTTAGTCATGCTTTAAACATAAACAAAGATTATTCTTACTTGTTTTCTTTACTTTTTATAATTTTGTTTATTGCATCATTATTACATTACATAATGTGTACAGCAACTGTTTGTGATTTAATAGAATTCATGCAAGATGTGCCTTGAATTGGAAATTGTGGTGTTAATAGCATCATGTTGAGTGACAAACTCTGTAAAAAAACAAAACAAGACAAAGCAAAAAAAGCTCTCTTTCCAATTTTTTTGTAATCCAAACATTGACTTATGTCAGAGAGAGGGACTTATCAAATCAGTTTCTATTTAAGAACCATAGGACCATCTTCTGATTCATTTGCTGTGTCAGTCACAAATAAAAATAACTTACAATGGATGAAGTCAAATTACAGGTCTGAAAATAGCTACTTGGTATGAATATTTTCAGCTTAGAAATCATTCATGCCTTGGTTTATTTTACAGCTGTCTAATGTTATCATATTAAAACATATAACCAACCATAGATTTGCACTAAATTAAATGGTTTCTTCTTTGTTGGATATTAATTTTTACAATAACAGTAGTCTGTATTTCCTGATAAAAGCAGCTTGGAGAACTCTTTATTAAAATTGAAATATTAATTTTTTTCTGGTTCACAATAGCCTTGTTGTTAACATGTATAACTCAAGCAGTTGTTTATGAATGCAAAAAATTATAAAAAAATTATAAAAAGTAAAGAAAACAAGTAAGAATAATCTTTGTTTATGTTTAAAGCATGACTAACCAGGGAATTTGGAAAAAAAAGTATATATCAATAAACAAAGGATAGTGATTAAGAACACAAAGAGACCCAAGTCAAAATGTCTGACATGAAAATAACTAACTAGCCAGAGCTTTAATACATAAGCATCCTTTCCTCAGAGTGTTTCAAAGAACACTGAGTGGTGGTTTCCAAAGATTTTACTGCGAGGAATAAATCGTTAGCTTGGTTAAATATAAGCTAAGTAATAAACCTCATTTTTCCAGTTTTTGCTCAATGGTTACAATATATGTCAAATCAATTTAGTTTAAGTTACTCACCTTTGATGACAGCTTGTATTTTTGTTCTGACAGGTACATTTTGAAGACATGGAATTTTCTAAAGAGGAGCTGAGAAGTAAGATTAAAATAACTTCTTCTGGAGAAAAGAAATTAACTCTGTTTGGGTGCAGTTTGCATGAATTGCCTGCAGCTTTGTTTGAGTTGACTGAGTTGGAGGTACTTAACCTGTCATGGAATAAACTCACAACAACACCTGAATTTTTTGGAAAATTAAGTACTCTTACTAACCTTGATTTGAGTAGAAACCAGCTGTCCATATTCCCTACATGTTTGACACAGCTGAAGAAACTCAAAGTGCTGCACATCTCACATAACAAACTAACCACCATCCCTCATGCTATTGGGGAGATGGTGGGACTGGAGAGACTGGATCTGAGTTCCAACCAGCTGTCCGTGTTGAGTCCAGCTATAACACAGCTGAATAAACTCAAAGGGCTGAACATCGCACATAACAAACTAACCACCATTCCTGATGGGATTGGTTTGATGGTGAAACTGGAGGAACTGGATCTGAGTTCCAACCAGTTGACTGTGTTGAGTCCAGCTTTAAAACAGCTGAAGAAACTCAAATGGATGAACATCTCACACAACAAACTAACCACCATCCCCGATACTATTGGTGAGATGGTGGGACTGGTGGGACTGGAGCTGAGTTTCAACCAGTTGACTGTGTTGAGTCCAGCTATAAAACAGCTGAAGAAACTCAAATATTTGTTTATGGAAGGGAATCCTTTTACAGTTGAAGGAATGAGAAGTGTTATGGAGCTAAAGGATAAGATTGACGAAGAACTTTCAGATGTCCCAAGTGAGTAAAGGAAATTCGTCTTCACATTAATGTTGTGACATGTGCATTTACTAAATTGGTTCTAATTAATGGTTGACTTGCAAGTGGTTATGCTGTTTGTTACTGATAATTACAAGTACATGTAGCTGACAATAGTTTCATGATAAAGCTTGAGAAGAATATGAAGTACATGTTAATACTGTCACAGTTATACTGTATGATTGAACAAAGTTGGTATCTGACTTTAGAAATACATGACATTTGTATTGGGAGTTTTTTAGTAAAATTTTGCAAAGCTTTATTTTAATAATCGGGCTAACATTGAAATTTAAGTTTGATTACATTGTATTATAATTTTATGGGATTAAGGAAGGATAAAGTTTATTACAAATCATTTTACAGTCAGGAATTCTTGTTGCAATTTTTGATGCATGGCTACAGTGTATATGATAGGAATTTAAGAAGGATTAAGGTTTTGTTGCAAATGATTTTACAGTTAGCAATTGTTCTTGTAATTTTTTATTTAATATATTAACATTTGATATGAATTAAGGAAGGGTAAGAATTGTACGAATCATTTCTCATTCAGGAATAATAATAGTTGTAAGTTTTGCTTTCAATTTGATTGAAGTAATTAAAATTAATATTTAACAACATTAAGCTTATCAAACAGAATTTAGGGAATTTAGAATTTAGGAGAGCAGGGATGGTGCGGTGGTGAGAGCACTTGCCTCCCACCACTGTGGCCCGGGTTCAATTCCCGGACCTGGCGTCACATAATGGGTAGAGTTTGTTGTTGGTTCTCGTCCTTGCTCCAAGGGCTTTTTTCCAGGTCCTCCAGTTTTCCACCCTCCGCAAAAACCAACATTCTAAATTCAAATTCAATCTGGAAACAATGGACAAGAAGAGCCACCCAGTGGAATGTCCATTGCTAAATAATAATAATTATAATTATTACTATTACTATTATTACTTATTTATGGACTGATGTGATTTTAATCCTTTACACTCTTAACATCAGATAGGATAATTATTCTCCATACTGTTCTCCATATATTTTCTGAGGCACTGACAAGGAGAATTTGTTTGACAATCAAGAGCTCCTTTGATTGGTGATCATTTCCTTTATTCTGGTGACCTTAATTTGCGATTCAGGGGTGATATTGTATGGAGACGTTAGGTGCTAGTCAATTCCTGGGGGTCAAAGAGTTAAAGCAAGAGTTCAAGTTCTGGAAATAAAACAGTTTGTTGATTTTCCATTCATTAGCATTTGGTTTTCAGTTTTGGTCATAAATACTAAATAAAGTTTTCAGATTTGGTATCAGATTTGGTTTTCCATTTTTCCTATTTAGGTTAGTTTGTTTGTTTGTTTTTTTTTTTATCTGAGCAGGAAGTACATATGTGCCTCCACTGATCTTGCATATCTGCGAAACCTCTGTATGCTCCACTTGTGACCACTATAAAATTATCAGATTGTTTAGGGTTTTGATAAGTGGGATAAGGATGTAAAAATTTATCGGTTTAACATTTTGTATGCAATTTTCTTTTTTGATCAAATCTTTTTATGGTTTTGTGGTTTTGGATGATTTTTTTCTCTGTTTTGTGGTTTCTGAATAATTATACCTCAATGCCCCCCTCAGATCAGTTATTACCTCTGTTTAATTTTTGATCACACACAGTTTATTCAAACTCTTAATCTCTGGTTTCATTGAGTCAGTTTATTAATTCAGTCATCGAATGCTTATATGTGTACCAAATTTGCCAATGCATAATTGTAACATCAGGAAAATACTTTGATTTTATGACTTTTATGTACTAGCATAGTTTCTAAATTTGTACATAATAGACATATAATTTATACTGACTGATCTGCTCCTAGGCTTGTTTTAGATTGTTTTTTTAAACTTATGAAAACAGAAATTGCTTTCCTTTAGGTTTATTATTATAATAATTATAACTTCTTCTGATTAGACATTTTCCTTTGGCTCAATCATGACAATTTTTTAATTAGGCCTTGTGGATAGACAAAGAGTGCAAGGACCAACAGCACAGTTGGCTTATGAAGAGGCTTTGAAAGATGGATGTGTAAAAGTTTACCGTGGTCGTATTATGCTGGTTGGTCAGGATCGGGCTGGTAAAACCAGTTTGAAGAAGAGTCTCCTAGGCCTTCCATTTGACCCTAAAGAACAGAGTACTGAGGGGATTGACATGGATCCTTCAAAGTGTGAAATTGATGTTGACCAAGCTGTCAAGAACTGGCAATTGACTAGAGAGAGTAAACCAGGACTGTTGGAATGTTCAAAAGATGTAGCAAAGATTGTGGCTGGCAGAATGTGTGGAGCAGATATTTCTCAACACAAATTTTTAAAGGAAGACACAACTGGTGGAGGAAAACTGGAATTAAAAAATAAATTTGGAGATGTTTTCAAGTCAAAGCAGGTTCGAGAGTTGAGTAAAGCTGTGAGAATTTTATGATATTATTATGCCTATAAAACTCTTTTTGTTTAAGGGGAAGGGCTAGGAGTCAGAAAAAAAGGAAGGAGGAGGAGGGAGAAGGGAGCTAAAGCCTCGTGAGAGTTAAAAATGTGCATTTTAACTTTTTTGAAGAGAATGAACAGGAATTAAGACTTGATATTTCTTAAAATTCTTTTCTTCATGACAATTCTAAATTGAAAAAACACTCTTAGATCAAGGATCGATGTGCCTCAAAGAGTCTGTTGCTTTTGGATGTTTTCAAAGTGTTTTAGATGAGTTCATAATTAACACATCAAATGAAAAAGAACGGCAAGTAATTTTTATTTCAACATCTTGACTGAAGTCAAAACTTTTATCATAGAGGCATCTATTGGTTGTTCCATTTTTCTCTTCTAGAATTCGTCAATTGCTTTTCCAGTGTTTTTTTCACTCAACTTAGAGGAACTTTGAGATTTTTTTCTCCAGTTGCATACACATTTTCATTCCTGATTATTTTTTTCTATCATTTTTATGTCCATTGATGTCAATTTTTATTCTCTGATGATATAATTTATTCCTAACTATTTTTACATTGTGGCTGTAAAATCCCAGTATGATTGTGTTAATCAGTGCAATTAAGTTTCTCTCTAAGGGCTATTACACTTGAGTTGTCAGCTTCAGAATTATTTGCAGTAGCCAACTCAGTTGAGAAAACCAAATCAACTTGTTATCCCCCCCCTCAGTAAAGCAGTACCATAGTATTTTTAGAAACATACCCCTTTTAAAATTATTCCAGACTGTACTGGTCGTAATTTTTTACCATTGAGGAGCTTGTTCTTAGCTTTAGCTTTGATTACATATAGCTACTTATAGTGAGTGTCATTTGATTCGCCATTCAGGTAGAGAAGAAAGAAGGTTTCACCATTCTGCAAAAGAATAGCAGTAAACATTTTACTGAATGCAAAGTTGAAAACATACAATCTGAGCCTGATGTGATGATTGATACTGCTCAACCTCCTGATACTCTGAGGCATGTTCATCAGTGGTTGGAGTATGTGCAGGGTAAACCTTTTGAAAGTGCTTTATTCACAGAGGAATCCTATGTTACAATGGATATTTGGGACTTTGCAGGGCAGCACCTGTACTATGCCAGCCATCCTATCTTCCTATCACAGCGAGCACTATACATATTGGTGCACAATCTCAGCAAACCTTTGGATGCTCCAGCTGAGCCCTGTATGAGACAAGGAAGTAATGATGTGAAATTGGAAAACCCTAACAATGAAACAAACATAGAGAATTTGTTGTCATGGCTGGCTACAGTACACAGTGTTGCTCTGGTAACTGAGACAGGTGATGATGCAAATCACAAGTTGCCCTACCTGCGCCCCCCAGTGTTCATTGTTGGCACACATGCTGACAAACCAGTTGAAGACATGGCAGTGATAAAGAAACAAATTCAGGAGAGAGTTTCTGGTATGGAATATGAGAGGCATGTCATAAGACCCTTATTCTGCATTGACAACAAAAGATCACACCCACAAAAAAATTGGTTTAAGACAACTTTTCAGTTTTGGAGTGGAGAACCTAATACAGGTAAGGTACAGTCATGTATTCAGTGCTTTGAATTAGATTTGAATCAGAAGGCTACTGTCAGTGGTAAAGTATTTGCTGGAGAATAATATGGAAAGCACTCAGAAATTCCCCCCCCCCCCCAAGCAAAAATTTTAACATTGTGATCTTTGATAAGCCCTTTTTAAATTAAGCCTTTCTTATATTACTGTATATAGTAAGTTACAGAGAAATAGTCATTTGGTTGTCAATGAAACAGTAGCCATGAAAATACTTTTCAAACACATGGCATGTTAGGTGATGTAACCTGTTCAAAGAGACTTTATGACAGGAATTACATAAATTTGTGCTAATTGAAACAGCACTGGGCGAAATTTGTGGCCATGGAATAAACAACTCCATGTCGTGCAGAACTAAATAGAATATACAAAACAAAGAAATACCAAACAACATGATGGAAAGAGGACTATGAATCACTTACATGGTTGCTGCCACAGAAAATACCAAGATTGGTACTACAGATGCAAACTGCTAAGGCCGAAAAGAAAAATAAAAGGGAAAGGACAAGTGAAAATGTCACTGAACTTAGTGTGGAAAACTAGAAAACCGGCATAGTACAAGCAGAAAAAGAGAACTGCCTGTGGAAGAATGAATCTAAAAAACAAAAACAACAGAAATTTGACCCTTTTAACCCCCTAATAGTGACTAGCTTCTAATTTCTCCATACACTATCACCCCTGAATCACACGTCTAAGTCAGGAGATTAAAGGTAATGATCACCAATCAAAGGAGCTCTTGATTCTCTTTGTCAAATGTATAAAGAACAGTATGGAGAATATGCATACTAATATAAGGTTGCAAAGGGCGAAAAAAATATATAAGGTGAAAATTTGAATACTAAATTGACCATTATTTTCTTTTGTTTATTTGTCTTTTTGTTCTGTGAAGTAATGTAAAGAGTATTGCTGGTAACTCAAAAGCATTGGATATTACAATATTTCATGATTTATCCTTTGCAGTAAATATATACTGTTCAATTGGATACTAGCCTCCCTTCCTGTTAGGTCTTAGAACACTTTAAAACAATTTCCTGAATTAAAGACCCATTTGAATGATGTTTGGCTTGAATTTTATTATTTAGGGGACTCATGTGAGAAGTCAACAGTCCAGGAGTAATAAACTGTAATACTTTCTTCAATTATTTTCAAAGGTCTAAAGAAAATAATAGTGATGTTGGGAAGGGGTGAAAGGATCATACTGCCCCTTGGAATTTGGAAAAAGAAACTTGACCCAGCTAACATAATTATAAAACCTGTGCTATCCTAACAGTACGATACAAAACTGGCTTATTGTTAGCACATGTTTCTTTGTAAAATGGTTTAAATTGCTTTCTATGGAATAAGAAACATGTATTTTGCAGAGCAAGAAGGTAAAGTAGATGGAGTCAATAAACTGCAGAACAAAATCCTGGAGGTGTTGATGCAGGAGCCTTATATGGGGGAGAAAATACCCGTCAGGTAAAGAAAAAAACATTTTATTTGACAAACCCAGTTCATCACCTTCAGATAATTTGAATATATCAACAAAGTTGAAATGGTAAATTGGCCACCTTCAGAATTGGTTTCGTACTCAAACAGCCTTGAGAAGTTCATTTGTGAATAGCGAGCAGTGTATTCAGTATAAGTTTACAAGTATGACTTATATAATGCATGTTTATGAATGCAACAATGTCTTGCATCCACTTGGTCCAAGTGCATGAAAATTCTTGAAAGATGTGATTGTACAAACACACCGTTGGCATTTAGTGCAGACAGATAAAACTTTTATTCATGAGATTGTGACAATGTTATGTCTATAAAAGATGTGAATGTCTAATTAACGTCCCAGGCCGTGAGGGCTTGGGACGTTAATAAAATGCTAACACTTTCCGTCTTTTTCCTGTTACGTTTTGCCGAACGAGCCACGATCTTATTCCGAAACATTCCCGACAAGAATTATTGCAGACCTCAAACAAATTGTATCAATCTTTATTTAGTACAATTGTCAATGTGTCAAATCAGACCAAAAACGGACGCTAAAGCAAATCAAAGAAAAGCGAACGAATGAATTCGACAATCTCATTCAAAGTCGTGCACAAAAACTGTCGGGCAGTCGCTCTTTTCGAGTGTGTTACGAGTTCTTTGTTTACGGAGTGGATAGATTGTAATCTAAACTGAACGCAGGGTTGTAGGAAAGCAAAAAGGATAGTTATTCCAGAAAAATGAACGTAGTTTCACGCCGTTAACTCTACGTAGCACAATAGACTTACACGGCCTCCGCCAAACTTTAAATAACCTGAAAGATACACACGGCCTCCGCCAACTTCAATCGACTTAAATTACTCACGGCCACCGCCAAACTCAACAAACACTGTCTCGTCACACTTGATTGCTCTCGTCTACAATCCAACTCCCTTCGCTTGTGAAAACTAGTTAAATACTACGCTTAGCGTCACCTACTAATATACTTACACGATAAAGTTCTAGAACGTTCTGGCTGTACCTAATAAAGTAACATTACAACATAAACCTATTTACAGTTACATACGTACGGCTTAAGAATGTTGGGGTCACAATGATACAATACAAAATTAAATATGCGCGAATGTTCCAGACGGTTCTAGAAAGTCACGCAAGTCACGTCATAATTTTTCGTAACAGAGTGCAGTCTAACTGTGCACTCTGTATGTATGCGGTGTTTATTGTGATGTGATGTTGCAATGTGATTGCTATATGGTGGAAGTTTTTTACATCAATATTGCACTTTAACTGTCATAAAATAACATGATCTTTAAACACAATAATTTTAAATACGCGCCTCTCAAGCGCGTGTAGTGAGTCAATCAAAGATGTTAAAAATGATTGAAAACGCCTCCTTTTGTCGGGAGTCTCAATAAAACCAGGACAAATAGCGACAATCTGACCTCTGTGACCAGCAATGATATCTCTTTAGGAGGACAAAGAACGTCACGGAAAAGTAATTCAATCTCGAATCTTGCAAAATGATCGATTTGATTCCAAAATCGCGCGTAAAGGGAGAGGTGAATTCCCGTCGACCCAAAAAGTTTTGATCCCAAATCACGCATAAAAAATTGTCCCAATCCCGTTTCACGTAAAAAGAAATAAGCCATATCACGAATCAGGCAAAAGGTATAGGGGACCCTGTTACATCATAACTTATGCAATCCTCTGTTTTCCCATTTTGATATGACACATCCTAGCCAGAGACGTTAAACCCTGCATAGGGTCTCGTTGATACATAATAAGACAATCAATTGCTTGAGCTGAGATTGGTTAGTGCAAATTAAAGTATAGATATTTGATTACTTGTAAGATGCACAGACAGCACATTTAGATGGTAGATGAATTTTGCCCAGGTAGACTAGTGTATACCTCCCTGGCTGAAATAACTAAAAAACTGAGGCGAGTAACTATTTTAGTTACTCTGTAGATACTGCACAGAAAACAAAAAGAGTTAATGGTTAATGTGTGATTTTGTTTCTTTAGCTGATCAGAGGTGAATAGTACTTGCTATTCACCTGGAGACCAGCCAATCAGCATGTGCAAAAACCACTATTCAACTTTGTGGTATATAATAATGCATTATACATATTCTGTTATCTTTTAGATGGTTTTTATTCGAAAAGGTGATTGAAGCTTTGGTGGCCAAACAGATTTATTACAGAAACCTACAACAACTCAAGCATTATGCTAGGGAGAAGTGTTTTATGAGAAAATCAGATGAGTTTGACTCCATGATCAGTTTTTACCATGGCCTTGGTATGATAATCAAGCACCGCAGTACAGTTGTACTGAAGGCTCAGTGGTTGATTGATCTGTTCAAGCAGCTGATAACCATTCCACCCTTTGACAAACAGGTAGAAAAACTGTTTTCATTAATTTTTCAAAGAGGCCAGTTACTTGAAAATCTTGTTCTAGAATTTAGTCAGACAGAAAACTAAGCATGATAGGTTTTTTTTTTTGGAAATGGTAAATTGATGACAACTATTATTAGAAACTGGATCGTTGGATAATGCAATTCAAGACTTTCTATTGGCTTAGCCATTATGGTATGAGCCAATATACCACAATCTAATATCTGTGCATTGTAACATCCCGTTTCTTCTTACAAAATAAATTCAAGAAGATTTGTCTAATATCTTGGGGGCGTTTTTTTAAAAGGGAACTAAAAATTGAATAAAATTTCATTTAATTTAACGTTTTTAATAAAACAATTATTCCACTCGCGCTTGTTGGATATGAGATGATTATAGCTCGTTGGCTATCTATCATGTCATATCCAACGCGCTCTCGTGGAATAATTGTTAAGTATTCACCATAATGGGTTTAATTTCCAACCATTTCGGTACATTGATGGAAACAATGGAATTGCTTTTTTTCTTTTTTTGATACATTTTAAAGAATCCCCGATATGTTAAGTACTGGCGCGAACTCGAAGGAAGTGGCATCCTCAGCATGGAACATGTTGATCATGTTTTCTCCAGCTTTATTGGACAAGGAATCATCAAAGAAGACATCTTAGACATGATGGAGCGATTTGGTTTGATCGCCAAGTTCTCAGTTTCCCCAGCTAATGTGAAGTACTTTGTACCAGCTCAGCTGAAGTCATCGCCTGAAGAACTCTGTAAGATGAAACCATCGTCAGTAGATCCCTGTCCACTGTATCTCCTCTTTGTCCATGGCTTTGTCCCCCATGGTCTTTTCTTACAGCTTGTCTGACGATCCATTCGTTGGTGTTCAGAGACCTGGCCCACGCATCAACCTACTCTGTACCAAAATGGAGCATGGTTCATCATTGGCAAAGATATTCATGATTTTGTTCTTATATGCAAAACAGGATTTGTGAAGGTAATCTTGAGACAAAGAACACAAAGTCATCAGGTTGTAGGACAGAACTCCACCGAACTAGCAACTTTTGTTCGTGAATTTCTTGAAGACACCTTACAGAATTTGTCACAAGAAATGCCGTACCTGAGGGGACTGCAGTATAGGCTGTGTGTTGCATGTCCTTACTGCCATCATGGGGCAAAAGAACCAAGTCGTGCGTGTTCAGACAACGTGAAAAGCACTTGCACACACGAGGACTGCTTCCACCTCATTTATGCAAATGAAGGCCGAGCGGAAGTATGTAAAAGAAAACTTGGGGACAAAGTACTTCCTCACTGTGGATTGGAGAAATGGTTTTTGAAAAGAAGGCAGGTATGATCGATTAAAGTGATTGTTTAAGTGCAGATTTCTCCAGCCTCTGATTTATCTTCGCAAGTTCTCTCCTCTATTACATACCTACATACATAGGTTAATTCACCACTCCCCACAGGGCTTTTCAGGGCCAACACCCACCCATCCCTAAGGTTGAGATCGGACGTCAGCATTATCAGGCGCCTCTGGCAGCCGCTTCAGTCCCTGTAACGATCTCACCTGAAAATCAAAATAATTATCTGTGATTAGTATTGAGAAAGGTTGGCCTGATAGTTTTTCTCTAGTTTCTAGTCAGAGGAACTCTATCAAGATAAACTATTTTTGAAGTTTATACTTTTCAACTTTCCTTGCTTAAGTATTGATCAACATATACATGATCACACACATAAAATGTTGTGTTAGGTAATTGTCATAATCCTATATGACGCTTTTTTATTCAGGGTTTATCCTCTTCAAATGTAGCTGCCAGATCTCATGGTGAAATTAATTCAATGAAGTTTGACACGGCACTGAAGGTGACTCTCTTGGGCAGCGAGTGGAGTTCATCAATGGGAGGCTTGTCCACCATAAACAGACAGCTTGCCATTCTGTTGGCCAAACGTTCTCAAGTAGACGTCACCCTCCTTGTCCCGCAGTTTGCCTGTTCTGAAGAAGAGAGGAGAATAGCATCGATTCACAATGTATCCTTGAGAGAGGCGCAAAGACGTCCGGGCTATGCCGACCCCCTTGACTGGCTGAGTGCCCCGCCAAGAGATCTGGCCATTGACATGGTACTGGGTCATGGAGCCAAGCTTGGTAAGCAAGCTCAATTTATTAGAGAATCGCACCAGTGCACGTGGATACAGGTAGTTCATACTGCACCTGAAGAACTTGGAATGCACAAAAATTATCCTGAGGCCATTTCTAAAGGTGAAGAGAAGAACATAACTGAAGTGGAGTTGTGTAAGTTAGCAGATGCTGTGGTAGCAGTTGGACCAAAGTTGACAAAGGTTTACTCTTCCTACCTACGCTCATGTGAGAAGCACCAAGATATAATTCAACTGACGCCGAGCACGTTCAGTGAGTTTTCTGACGTGAAACAAGCTGCAGTTGACATGGACAAGTTTAAGGTTCTCACGTTTGGCCGTGGTGATCCAGAGGACTTCAGCTTAAAGGGCTACGATATTTCTGCCAGAGCAATAGTTGAACTGAGAGACAGATCATACTGTTTGATTTTCGTCGGTGCAGCTGACGGTAAACAGGATAAGGTTGCAGCGAATTTGCTGAAGAGTGGAATTGATAAAAGCCAGCTGACTGTGAGGAAGTTCATTCAGAGTAAAGAGAAATTGAAAGATTTATTTTGTGAAGTTGATCTCTGCATGATGCCTTCCAGAACGGAGGGTTTCGGCCTCACAGCATTAGAAGCTTTGTCTGCCGGTCTTCCCATTCTTGTCAGTGGCAACTCAGGATTTGGTGAAGTATTGTGTACTGTACCATTAGGCAAATCAGTTGTAGTGGAGTCTGAGGACCCTAAGGAGTGGGCAAAGGCAATTGCTGGTGTCCGAGAGAAGGAAAGATCAGACCGACTTCAGAAGATTCAGCAACTGAGGAGTTCCTATGAGGAGAAGTTCAGCTGGGAGAAACAGGGTGACATTCTTGTGAAGAAGATGTGGGACGTAGTTCATGGTGAGAATGTTTTGAATATCCTTCAAAAAGTGTTTTTTTTAGGGGGGGGGGGCACTCGGCTTTCAGTCTCTTATAAAGCGTCATGGAAAGCTGGGACACCGTATACAAAAAATATGTTTCACCTGAATAGCCTGAATTGTAATCAGTTGTTTTATCCTTTTGTTGATATTGAAAAAAGGTTTCTTACTATCTTGTTAGCTTCTAAAAGACGAGACACGAGTTTCAGAACTCAGGAGGCCGAAGATGTTGATGCGTCAACTGAACAACCACCAGTTCATTCATTACTGACTCCAAGTGAGTACCAAAATATTAACAACACACGGTAATTGACATGCCCAAAGACTTAAAGACGGGTTTGAAGAAGATCCAACACTTCTCCTTTCCTTTTCTTTCAACTTCAGGCCAGCTACGCTTTTTGAAAATGGTACTTCTGATGATATTTTGCTCTAATGGGACATATGTTATTATTTGTACCTCTGCTGTCTTCGGTTATGAGCCAAAGACATGTATACACAAATTTGATTTTCTTTTACTTCCGATCTGGAAGGATGGCTTGGTGTAATTTTTGTTTTTGTCAATTGAATTTTTTATCCAATTTCACTAGGAAACAAAGATAAATTGCGTAAAACAGGGAGACTTGGGGCGTTTTTTTGTTTTTTCTCGAAACGAAGCCAAAGTTCAAATTCTATTGCTATCAAAACGTGTTTATGTACTGGCTATACAGAAAGAAGTGTTGTCTGACACAATAATGAAGCAATCGTATATTAATGCGGTGGAGGATATACATGGGGCCCGTTATTTATGCGAGGTCTAACCCTAACCGTGATTTTCGTTAAATAAATGTGCTTCTGCTGCTACTGAGCTTTCGGCCCTCTCGACTCTGTTCATTGGAGTGAATGTTCAGATAAAAGATTCAGCTAAATTTGATATAGTTTTGAACGCAGTTTTGTTAAACAACGGCTGAACTTTGTTTAAATAACCGGCCCTGGGGTACTTTTTCGAGTTATGCAAATATGTTAGAGTGCAGACCTTGCCGTAAATTTTTTTTCACTGCTACTTGTCTTTTGGCTATTAGTATATTCTTTTGCACACCCAAAAAAATCACAATTTATCATTTCAAGGCTCAGTTATTGGAGACAACATCGGTTGTTTGTTGGTCTAAATGCTTTCCTGTTTTATCCTCTAAGTTTCTCATACTGGATTGGGAATTTTTTTTTTTTTTCAGCTGACGATTGTTTTGCTTCTTTAACGAAATTAGATTTATAAAAAACTTTGTGTCCTCTAGGTTCTCCCGACCGAATCATCCAGAATCTTCAGCAGATGCAACTTGATGCAAGCAAAGTCAAGAGCACAACAGATCTATCACTAAGGCTGAGGAGGATTGCATCAGACAAGGGCTTCAGAATATCTGACAATCAAGGATTAGGAAATTGCATGTTTTATGCCTTGTCAGAACAACTGGAAATTGTTAAAGGAATCAAAATCCCACATTGGAGATTAAGACAAACCTTGGTCCAGTACCTCAGATGTAACCCAAAACTAGTAAGTTGATGTTAGTATGTCTAACAGAGTATGTCACGTGATGTTCTTTTAAGGTTAAGTGTGTATACAGGTCAACACCACCAGACGCTATCCCAGGGTTCACAGCATAACTTTATGAGTTAAGAAGCCGCACAATGATATTGGTTACATTTGAATCTATTTGCTACTTAACGTGGCCTCCGAAGTAGCAGACTTTTACGGTTTTAGTCATTTGAATATTTTGGTTTAAGAAATGTCCCCCTTAAACATCGATCAGATAACGCTGAAAAGATTCCAGTTTTTCTCTAGATGATGGATCTTTTCTGTTGTTTTTCTGCTGTCAGGAAATCCTTGTTGTTCTAAAATAAATTGCTAATTAAAGGTCGTCTCGTACCATTCTTAAAAAAATTACTCCATGACTCGTACTCCACGCGCTCAAGTTCCCATCAACAATCCTCTCTAAGTTTGTTTTTTTTTAACTGATTTTCTTACAGCCGAATGGAACAGATCTGTTTCACTTTGTCCATGGACATCAGACATGGACTGAATACCTAAAACACATGGAACAAGATGGCGCTTGGGGTGATCATGTGACTCTGTGTGCCGCAGCAAACTTCTATGAAACGTGCATTCGTGTGGTCAGCAGATTACCCCATAGCAATGATGTGGTCATTACGCCACATTGTCCAGTTAACGATGGCAAAGCACTTGTACTAGGTCATATTCACGAGGTGCACTATGTCAGCCTTCAACCCACTTGAGGTACAGCTCAGTAAATTACTCCAATCAAATGTAATTTTTTTTTTATCATGAGGGATATTTGTTAGTTAGAATAATCAATCTTTTTAATACCGACTTGACAACAAAGTGACGCTTTTTGTTGTTGTTCGATTCGATTCTTTGCTTTTATTAACACGATCAGGAGGTTGGTGTTTTTAATGATTTCATGTTCCATCGTTGGTTCACGTCTCAATAATCAAACACAATTCATGCGCACTTTAATTTTCCGTTGCTGTTTAATCCCTTTGCTCTGATTGTTGCACTTACAGGTTAAAATGGCAGCCCCTTACAGTTACTTTGATCGGTCAGTGAAGAGCCCGGCCTTGCTGAATGACTTTATAGGCATACAGACTATTGATGCAAATTGGCCAACTAGAGCTTTCTCCGGCCTGATTTTTTAGGTGTGAACTTAAGAAGCTTAGCTTTAATAACATAGGTTCTATAATAATAGTTTTCCAATGTATCGCATAAAAAGAAAGACAAACCAAACGACGGAAGGCTGTCAATAAAGAGACATCACACATCAAAAAAAGTTGTCGTTTCTAGACAAGAGACCAAAAAAAATTGGGACCAATTGGGACCTATTGGGACCAAAAAAAACACTATCACCAGTCTGGAACTTTATTGAAGAGGCTCGAATCATGAACTCGATTCCTCTTCATTTTAATCGACTAACAAAGTATTTTATTGCTACGTACTTTATATGTATATATAACTGAATAAAAAGTCTGTACAATTGCAGTGAAGTAGTTAGTTATTCAATAAATTCATATATTAATATTTTAAAAACGTAATCGAGTTAATTCATACACAATGAAAAAATAGCACATTTAATCACTTTTTCAATCACTCTGTGCGATCAGAATGTTGCTTTGGTTCTGCTGCAGCATGGTCTCAGCAATGCATGGAATAAACAGCACTCACAGTAAAATGTCTTTCCCCCAAATGATTAAGAAGGCAATCGATAATTGAGATAGGCTGCAGATGTCCGTTGACTTAAAGTGTCTTTACTGATTAAAATATTAGAAAATCGAGATTTCAAGGGTTCAAGACTCGGGTCTGAACTGAGTAAGTATAACCGCTCCACACATTATTCTTTCGCTGAGTTTAGGGGCTGTCTTTGCATGAAATCGATGCCAAGTGTCATAATGATAAAATTTCTTTGGCTTATGTTTAACTTCAAATAGGATTTCAGAACAATTGAAGGCTCAACTCCTCACAGCGTCACAGAAAATTTCAAGAAAATTTAGCATTCCATGGCCCATTTCGATCTTGGTACTGACGAAGAAAACTCCATCACCGATCAAGATCACAGGGTTTCTTTTGTGAAGTGATGGTTGCGCACATGAAAATTGTGTGACCCACAAAGTTGACAACAGAATGTGCCCCAAATTGTTTCACTACATTCACAACTATACCATAACTACCGACAAGTCCAGATCCAACGCGCACTTTTAACTTTATTACATTACGGTCGATTGCGGTTGCTAAGGGGAAAAATAGTAATTAGTTATTACAAGTAGAAGTAGAAACGTAAACGACAGGGGAAAAGCAAGCGGACAAGGAAAAACACAACGTTGTATGATTTTGTGGACACGAAGGACGGAAAACTAAGAGTTGATTGCAGTAAAGGAATCGACGTTGATCTCAAGGACTGATACTCCAGTGCTGAATTTTTACCGAGAAGCATATACAAATACAAAATGGAATTAAACAAAGCGAAATTATATACGAAAAAAGCTAGCAATATAAATCACTGAACGATGTGAAAGAATGTGGAAAACAAGAAAATGCGCGTGCAAAACACATTAAATGTAATTGGAAACGTAAATGGGAATGCTGCATTAACATATACTATAAACCCTTTAGACAGTCATAGGGTCATTTTTAGCTTCTTGTGTCCCTTCTTGTGTCTCGCGACCCGCTTCTGGTGTCCCGCTCGTGCCGTTTCATTTCCCGCTCATGCGACAGTTTTCGTGCTTGTTCCTCGTTCGTCGACATTGGCTGCTTCAAGTAAAGATAAGATTTCATTTGATTAGCTTCTTTATTGTCACTTACAAAGAAAAGAAATATTCGCTTCGTTAGAGATTAACTGCAACCCTTATTTCGGAATCCCGTTATAAAAAAAAATTAAAGTTATGGTCGGTTAAGAACAGGAGCTTGGATATTTCACCAAATATCATATGTCCAACAGAACTTAAACAGCTCCCTATGCAACGGCACAGCAATTTCCATTCTCTAAGGCTTGGATCTAAGCAGCTTGCTGGTTGTTGAAGCTATCGGGGCAGTTAGCAATATTTCTTCCTTCCACTAGTGTAGTATTCGGCTGATAATAGAGGATTCCATTGACCCGCAAGAGAGCATTTTAAAACCTCGGAATGAGTCATTTCCAAATACCTCACAAGAAAGATAAATACGCCGTGCACGCACAGATAAAGTGCGTACTAAGCATCTGCTCAGTTTTTCTGATTATTTCCATTCATGTCTCAACTTTTTTTCCCATTTTTTATTAACTACATACGACAGCACATTACTAATAATACGTAAATCAATTACAGTGATTACAATACTGACAATACTTACATTACCCACGATGCTACTCCTATTACAATTAATACTTAACTTGTAATATATATTTTAGAGTGGTAGATAGCACAACACATCACAGACACAATGCAAATACTTCCATTAGATTTTGAAGCACGAGCTATTTGGTAAGAAAAACGGACAATGCAGATTTTCAATGAGCCACCACATATTTCCTCCGCGTAGTATCACAACAAAAATTCTTATAATTATGGTTTCCATCTTTTCCTGAAAAACTTGAAGCTTCTTATTTCTTAAGGCAATAAGTCTCTCACTTTTCTTCTTGGCTTCTCCTTTATGTAGGAACAAATTAACTTTGGGATTGACTTGTTTTTTCTACACTCCCATATACACAGTTTACCAATCCTTATCAGATAATTTAGTGTGTCATTTCTGTTTAACATGCCAATTATAACTTCTTTTAGGGATAAGTTCAGATTTCCACTCCGAAAATTTGACCACCAGTTACAAAACCTGTTCCAAAAGGCTGGCCACATAGAGTA